AGCTGGCTAGTTCCACAACTAGAGAGGTGAAGAAAGCACAGTGAGGCTGGTCAGAGGTACACAGGCACAGAAAGTGCTGGCACCTGGATGTGCTGCTCTTTTCATTGGGACGGAGATATAAGCTACTGTTTGCTCTGAGCTCCAGTTCCAGCTTTCTCTCAGAGGTGCTCACGGTGATCATTGTTGGGTGCTGGATGTGGAGACCCGGAGACCTCTCTGGTGCAGGGCTGACTGACAGCCATTGCTGTTTGCTCTGCCCCAGTGACTCCCAGAGACCCAACCCACCCAATTTACAACCCCACCCAAGCTGTGCACATCGGCTTTTGCATATGAATGGCCTGTCCTTTCTCTGTCTAAAAAAATGTCAAACTGCAGCTGGGTCAGAGAGCCCCAGAGCTTCTAAAAGAAGGCCCAAGGCTCAGCAGCAGCAGCCAGCCTTGCTTCACAGCTGGGCCTCATCTGGGCACTTTCAAACCCAATACAAAGAGAAGGAATCTACAGATGTCTCTGTAGCTCCTGCTGGGCGGCCCTAGACAGTGGCTGACCTTGCACCACCTTGGAGATCCAAGAGCCAGTGTACCCAGTGGTCAATGTGAGACCATCCAGATTACAACTCTTCACATCCATAAGAGATACACTCAAGGGATAGATTCAGTGAGCACCAAAGTCCCACTGAAGCAAATCCTGCCCCATAAGGGTGTCTCCTGCAAAACAGATCTTCCAGTGTAGACACAGCTGGTCATCAAAGCCAATTGTCCTAGAGGTCAATTCCTCCCAGTAATACCAACAGCAATCAAGGATTAACCACAATAAGACAGTGCATACAGTCCACAAAGGGGTGCACCATGAGTGTCCACCTCAGATGACTGGGAAGTCTGAGCCACTGGGCCCGATAGGACACCTACCACCAAGGCCAATCTATCAATTCAAGGAGACTTAGCAGCTACTCAGTACATAGAAACAAACACAGGGAAGCAGCCAAAATGAGGAGACAAAGAAACAAGTCACAAATGAAAAAAAATGGATGAAAGATTGGATATAGAGTTCAAAACCATGATTATAAGTTTACTCAAACATCTTCTAGAAACCTCTGAAAAATTTAGTGAGACCTTCAAGGATATGAAAAAGGACCAACTAGAAATTGAGCATACACTGACTGAAATAAAGAATAATATATAGAGATCCAACAGCAGACTAGAGGATCATAGGAATCAAGTCAAAGATTTGAAATACAAAGAAGCAAAAAACACCCAACTGGAAAAGAATAAAGAATCCAAAAATATGAAGATAGTGGAAGGAGCCCTCTGGGACAACTTCAAGTGTACCAAAATCCAAATTATGGGGGTGCCAGAAGAAGCGTGGAAGAAAGAGGGACATAGAAATATCAATGTGAGAGAAGCACACTGATTGGCTGCTTCCCGCATGAGTTCTGACCAGGGCCCAGGCAGGGGAGGAGCCTGCAACCAAAGTGCATGGCCTTGACCAGAATTGAACCTGGTACCCTTCAGACTGCAGGCTCATGCTCTCATCACAGAGCAAAACTGGCTAGGGCTATGTGTGGAATGTTAAAGCAAAACAACAAAAAAACACTCATAGAAACAGACCAAAGGGATGGCTAAGCAGAAGGGAGAGGGTTGAGGATGGGTGAAAAGGGGAAGGGAATATAGTCAATAATATTATGATAAGTTGGCATGGTGACAGATAAATACTAAAATTAATGGGTGATCACTTTGTAAGGTATAAAAATGTCGAATCGCTAAAACCAATATAACCAATATAAGATTATATACCAACTATACTGAAATTTTTGTAAATGTCTTTTGTAGGCAACAACAAAAAAGGCACCTTTTCAAAAACAGAGTGATAGCAAAATACAGTGTAATGCCAAACTGCTTAGTGAAAAGAAAATTAAATAAATGGTATCATGGTGACAATTTTATAAAAATATGAACAAATAGATCTAAAGGGCAGAAACAACTGTGGTGGTTTTGCTGGGGGGTGACTCTCTTTAAGGAGAGTGTGGTTTTGAAATGCAGTCAATGAGTAGTAATATTCACCTCAATGTTGTTGGTTTTTAATGATTTTACGGTGGTCCGAAGGCTTCTTTAGGAAAGTGTCTTCTCTCACCTTTTAGAATTCGGTGCACGGAAAGAGTTTTGACTAAAAGTTTGTCATTCTCGTTGGGCAGGCTCCATTTTCAGAGCTTTCATCCCTGGCAGTGTAGAAGTGTTGCCTCGGAGGCACATGCTACTGGCTCCCCAGCATGGAGGGTCCATGGACATGTCGTGGTACCATAGAAATGTGGCCTTCAGCTACGAGTCTCAGAATTAACATGTACAGCAACTTCAAACACATGGGTTCATTTCCCTTACGACTAATCTGCAAGGAAGTAGTTGGTAGCATAGCGATTCTACGTCTCAAAACATCAGAACTAGTGTTTGTATAATTCTTTTTCCTTTTCCTGGCTGCAAGATTGCCTCTGAAGCTCAGCTGCAGAAGTCACATCACATGTCCCTGGAGATGAAGGGAAAGGGGTGGGCTGCCCCAGGCCACATAAAAGCTTTCTCAGATGTCCCCTCTACCCAACCCAGAAAATTGTCACTCATACTTCATGGGCCAGAACTCGGTGCTCGGTGTCTTTGTGAAAAGAGTATTTGTCTCTGAGCCTCCAAAATGGGAAATGGCAACAGAGACACGAATGGGTATGACCTCCGGGAAGTCCATCAAGAGGCCTGTGTGGACATGAGTTCACTGCTGAGGTCTGAGAATTGTACACAGTGACTGTATCTGACGTGATGAAATGGAGGTGGTGTTTGTTACGTCTCTGGACTATCTGCCAAATTCTGTCTATGGAAAGGCACACTGGGTGTTTGTGTGCCTTAGGACTTTATTCACAAGAGCATTCAAAATGAGAAGAGCACCATGCTGGGGCCCGAGATACAGACAGTACCCTACCGGCCCTACAGCACCGCCGCCTTCGTGTGGCTGCTCTTCCCCCTCCCACCAAACTCAGCACCAACCCGGACGTGCCGTAAGAGAAGTGCCTTCTTTTGGCATTGTCCTCTACCCTCCCCAAGGAAGGAAGCCATATAAACTCACAAACTAAAAAAGAAAGATTTAGTTTCCCCACAAGCATCTGCTATAAGCAGCATGTCAATTTCTTGTTTGTTTTTAAAAATATATATATATTTTTTATTGATTTCTGAAAGGAAGGGAGAGGGAGAGAGAAATAGAAATATCCTATATAATAAAAGAGTAATATTCAAATTGTCCTTTCGAGTTCAACAAGGGGGTTGGGCTGGCTGGCCCTACCCACCCCAATCAGGGGCAGGGCCGGCCAGACCCCACCTGTGCATGAATTCGGGCACGGGCCTCTAGTGATGTTATAATATTCAAAAAACAGTAAGAGTCTAGGCATGACCTAGTCAGGAACTCCTTTGATTCGATGTGAGTTGGATATTTTAAGGGGTTTGATTAATTTTACCTAATTAGTGTTTTTATCTTTGAAGGCACGAAGTAACATGGGGCAATTGATGATGACACTTGAACACAGTAACAGGCAGGAAAAACTCAAATACACTCCTGACTGTAGACTGGATTAAGATATTCTTCAAACTGATGCTTTTGACATCAAAACCGACTTGCTGCCCTAGCTGGTTTGGCTCAGTGGATAGGGCATTGGTTTGCGAACTGAAGGGTTCTAGGTTCGATTCTGGTCAAGGGCACATGTCTGGGTTACGGGCTTGATCCCCAGTAGGGGTCATGCAGGAGGCAGCCAATTGGTCATTCTCATCATTGGTGTTTCTATCTCTCCCTCCCTTCTATCTGAAATAAAAAATATATATTTTTTAAAGACTATACATAAATTAATAGCAGCAGCAGCAAAGTGGGCATGTACATGTTATCAGTATATTAAACATGTTAACACCAAAATAGCACTTTGCTCTATTGAAATTTTTTATTAATGACGTTCAGATTTCAAATATTTAATTTTAGAAGTGGACAGGTGAAAACATGTTAGCTAGCCAGCTGCAAAACACCAACGAAACTATTATAACTCCCTTTGGAGCGGAAGGGTTGTCAGGAAATACACCCCTCCCCCTCCCCTGCCTACTGTGGTGGCTGTGACGACTGTGAGGGCGGACAAGTCCTTAAAAGAAACTGTCTCTGTGAATGTGTTCCAGAGTCCCAAGCTGAAAGGTTATCAGAAAGGAGATGTGAAGCTTGGAGGCCTTGGACCTGACCTTGAGTCCATCAGAGACAAAGTGAGTGTGGCGTGCATATAGTGTGTCTTCAGGCTGGGATTTGCCCATCTGTCTTTTAGCAAAAATTGTATAAGATGCCCTCCCAGAACCGAGCCCTCACTCTGAATAGAGACACTTCTGAAATTTCGCCGGTAACAGAGACCCGGGCGTTCCTCTCACTGTAAAATAAAATCACTCAGCAAGGTTGTGTTCGTATCCATCCACCTTTCGGTTTTGAAGGCCCGAGCAGAAAAGGGGGGCCTTGGAGAGAGCCGTGCGTGCACGGCGTGCGGGGCTTTCCCCCGAGGTTGGCTGGTAATTGTGCGCAGCGGCTGCAGGGAGACACTTAGGGTAAGAGTGCCCCAGCCCATGAAAGTGCACCCACTTTATTCTCTCTGCAGTGAAAGGAGATCTTCATTTAATGTGTTTTAACTGCAGTTGCACTCAAGGCATAAAAAGAGAGTACAGTTCAAAGTTGGAAGCAAAAATGAAAATAAATTGGGTAAATGCAACAAAGAAGAGGCTGAATGTGATTTAGCCGCTATGAAGGGACCCCCGGGTGTGCTATGCAGCTATGTGCCCCCCTTCACCCCCCCTCCCCCCTTACCCCGGAGAGGCTGCTTCTGGGAGAAACATCAACTTGACTGGCAGCTCACTGCCCGCCCGCCCTGTGTAGCTGAGACAATGCCAGGGACTCTAATAGCGAACAGGGAGCTGGCAGGAGCAGCCATCACTGTCACTCTGTTTCTCTGAAAGATGCAGAAACTAAGACAGCAGAAGGAATACGCGAAGCAGGTGAAGGAGTACAACATGAAGACCCTCTCCCTCCTGTCCAACCCGCCGGCGGCAAAGCCCGAGAACAGCCCCGGCCTCTCCCGGCAGAAGGTGAGACCAGGGAGGCAGCGCCTCTCCCTCTCCGCTAGAATGAAAGGAAACCTTTGTTGCCTCACAACTCAGTGGGCCCCGCGCTCGCTGGGCACAGGGCGTGTTTTAGCTCCGCCGTTCCTGCAGCTGCCCCTCTTCACAGCGTGGCTGGAGCGTGATAGGCACACAAAGGGTGCGGCAAGGTTAGCCTTTTCCTCTTCCCCGCGTTCATTGCCTTCATTCACCAGCTCGCTTCCTTCTCACTATAGTGTTCCGGGATTGCCGCACGATGAAGATCAAACAGGCATTGGTTTCTTTTCTTTTCTTTTCTTAAATAAATAAATTTCATTTTTATTTATTTTTTAATGTATTTTATTGATTTTCACAGAGAGGAAGAGAGAGGGATAGAGAGTTAGAAACATCGATGAGAGAGAATCATCGATCAGCTGCCTCTTGCACACCCCCCACTGGGGATGTGCCCCCAACCAAGGTACATGCCCTTGCCTGGAATCTAACCCGATCTAGCCACTGAGCCAAACCGGTCCCGGCAGGGGTTTGGTTTCTTAGTGAACCGGGATTGGTGGTTTCTGCTGTCGATTTTTTCTCTGCAGTGAAGTGAGCCTTCAGGCAGTGGTGTTTTCGTGCTTTTGATGGAGTCCCTGTCAAACAAAATCCTTCGTTGTTTCTCTCAAGCTCATTCTCCTACATTCTCCCCGAGGGTGGTCACATACAGGTCCCTCTATCCAAGGAAAATGATTTCATAAAATGCACATTCTCTCTCTCTTGCAACCATAGTCCTCCAACCCAGGCACGACGTGCAGGGAAGGGTTCCATGGAGACAGCTCTGCCCAGCAGGCCCCTGCTCAGGCCCGGGAAGGCCAGGCCCGGTGCCTGCAGGAGTGTGTGCATGCTCTCTCTCACCAACCAGCTCCTGTCTTATTCACCGCCTGCCTTCCTCAGGCCTGCGCCTCCTCCGCGGAGTCATCCTGCTGCCCCTTTTCTCTCCTTCCCCGTTACTGTCGCACACGGGATTCCAGGCAGCCCGTCTGTCCTGAGGGGCTCACAGGGGCGCTGCCGCACACAGCAAGGACTGCAGCTTCTCTCTCCTGAGGGCGTTTTTTCCCTTCTAGGACTCCGTACCATCCCTTCCTGTGGTTGCCACCAACAAACTGGTGAAAATAGAAAACTGACATAAAGGCAGATTTAGAAATCACACTTAGAGATAACATTTTATTGTAATGCCTTTCAGAACTGACATCGCTTAGAAAAGAAAAGAGAGAAAACCTGCCTTTTCCAGTATCCATGTTTAGACAGTATACGAAAAAAGAAAAATCACAATTTCTAACCTCTAATAAGTACTTGCCAGACTTCTGAGAGGCCAGGGGCATGCGCAGCTGGTGTCGCAATGGCAGTGCGATTTTCAGAGTAAATCGTGGTCTAAATTGGTAACAAGTCCTCTTTGGGCAGAAAGGTCTGTAATATCTCCTTGTGACAAGTTTGGCTTTATCGAGACTGCCAGAGCTAACTCGGTCAAACGCACGGCAAATCTATTTTCAAGCACTGAATAAGACTCTGCTTTATAAATAACGACAGGAGGTACTTTAAATCGCTAATTCTTGTGTGGCTGGTTTATGTTGCTTAAGCTGTAAGTTATACTGCATTATTTGCATTTTCCATTTGATCTCCAAGTCCCATACACAACTTACTACATTGTTGTAACAACAGCCTTCCCTTATATTATCAATAAATATTCCCTAAGACCACCTTTAATTTAAGGAATCCAGGGCTCACTCCCATTTCAAACTAAATTTCACCTGTATGCTTTCAGGCTTTGGAATACGCTAAGACCATCCCCAAACCCAAATCTTCAAATCTGGCTGACCAGGCGTCAAAGGAAAAGAAAAATCCAGCCTCCGCTGGAGAAGACACGTTGCCAGAGATCTCCCTGCTGGGCATCCTGCAGAGCAGGCACGAGCGGGAGAAGCAGGCCGTGGCTGCCTTCAAAGTCCTGCACATCGTGTAGCGCTGGAGGGACCCCAGGGGCGGGCCCGGGGCGAGGACGCTCAGCCAGCCTCTCCATGGCGACCCGTCTCATCAGGCGCAGTCCGTGTGGGTGTGTTGCGTAGGATTTAAAACGTGGGCCCTATTCTATTGTGGCGCCAGAGTGCACTTTCTAGGAAGAAATTTTTTAATTATTTATTTTCAAATCAGTTGAACTTTGGGCCTAATAAGAACCAGGGAATAAGGCCTTTGGGTTTTATGTGGGATCTTTTTATTTCTTAAACAATCTGTACCCTTCCTTAGCAATGAAAACCATGAAGTTACCCAAAAATAAATTTATCAACTTGTGTTTCTCTCTTTTACATCCCTGGTAAGAAAGAAAAAGCAGAAACTCTTCAGTTTCTATAAAATGTACTCAAATTGGACTAATGACCAGTATATTCTGAGATACCATTTCCAAAATATTTACAACATTTTTAAGTTTAGCCAAGGTCTCACATATGAAACTGGGAGAGCCCTGGCCTGGGTGGCTTGCTTGGTTGCAGTGTCATCCCACACAAGAGAGGGCAGTGTGATTCCTGGTCAGGGCACAAACCCAGTATACGGGTACGATCCAGTCACGGCACATGTGGGAGGCAAACAATGTTTCTCTCTCACATCAATGTTTCTCTCTCTCTCTCTCTCTCTCTCCCTCTCTCTCTCTCTCTCTTTCTCTCTCTCTCTCTGTGTGTGTGTGTGTGTGTCCTCCTTTCTCTAAAAATTATCCCAATGAAAAATAAATAAATATAAAAATAAGTAAGTAAAATTAGAAGTGCAGATACATGGAGGTGTGCCCACTCAAGTAGAACAATCCCTTGTTCTACAGAGCATCACTAAGCAGCAGCAGCCAGGCGGGAGCGGCCAGGTCAGGAACAGCCAGGCCTGGAGCAGCCAGGCCCAGAGCAGCAGCAGCCAGGCCTGGAGCGGCCGGGTCGGGAGAAGCCAGGCCCAGAGCACCAGCAGCTCGGCCGGGAGCAGCTGGGCCCAGAGCAGCCGGGCCCAGAGCAGCCGGGTTGGGAGAAGCCAGGCCCAGAGCAGCAGCAGCCAGGCCGGGAGCAACTGGTTGTGGAGCGATCAGAGCAACAGAGGCCAGGCCCGAAGCAGCCAGGCCCGGAACAGTTCGCTCCTCGCCTGCCCATGCCACAGGGCTGCCTCTCAGACATGGCTGGAAACTTTTGGGGGAACTTGAGGGTCTGCTGAATCAAGTGATGAAGGCTTAGATCTGGATGTGTTGAGTTATAGCGCTGGGGTGTTGATCTGTGAGTGCCTTGTGTGGGGTCTGGATAAGGTTGGTTGATCTATTTGGAAGTGTCTTTTGTGTGAAGTGTATCTTGGGCATGTGGAGGTATTATTGATTTGAGAAAATGCTAAGTAACTGATTTACTACCTGAAAAATTTAAAGTTCTGAAAGTTTAATGTCTCTTGCCAAAAAGAGGTTTTAAAGCTAACACCTTAATTTTAATGGAGAAAGGGGAGGACAAGCCCTTCCCACCCAGAACAGGTAATCCAATTCCAGCCAGCAGCTATCTTTAAACAATGTGTTCATTTACATTTGAATGGCTACACCTTTTGATAGCCTAAGGGCAAGTTTACATGTAAACAGGTTTGCTTCTCAGTTCCCAGGGCAAAAAAAATAAAGTTTAAAATTATTAGATTTTAAAATTTATTCTTAAAAATATAAAGTTTATTAATTTTAAAACAAAACAAAAAAAGGAAATTAAAAAACCTGATGAACAATATTAACTGTTGATTATAATAGAATCAGAGATACGGGAGGGGAGTGGACTGACAATTCTCGGGGAAAAGGGGGGGGGGTGCGGGAAGAGACTGAACATAAACTGTGCACCTGTGGATGAGGACAGTGGGGGGTGGGGAAAGGGCAGAGGGTGGGGTGGGAACCTGGTGAAGGAGGGAAGAAATGAGGAACCTTTGTAATAATATGAACAATAAAGATTGATTAAAAATATATAAACTATAAAATTAAAGAGCATCACTATAATCAGAAAGCCTCCAAGTCCAGAGACCAACTCAGGCAGTGTGAGCCGCGCTTTGTGAAAGCCACTCCTCCAGACGGCTAGTGAAGACGCGGCGTGGATAAGCGTGGTGCCTGAGTCCTCCCACAGCCACGTCAGAGCTACAAGTAAACTGCAGAACAACCATCTTTCAGAACCACCTGAAATCTCGCTGCATGGAAGTCATACAACTAGGGATTAAAGAAGAAGCCACATTGATGTTACGGAGCGAGTCCCCAGGAGATGGACCACCGAAGCCAATTTGATTAAGCCAGCAAGAATTTATTACAGATTCGAATCCGGGCTCAAACCATGGCTGACGCAGCAGCCGGCAAACACCCAGATAAGAGCCCCGATGGAGGGGCAGTCCCTCCAGAGCGCTCACACAAAAACACAGACAAACACACACCAGTCGGGCTCTCCGGATCGGGACCCCTCATGGTCCTGGCTGGGGATCCCAGACGAATTCGTGATCCCCAAGGACCACCAGGGAGCCGAGTCTGATGCAATAAACGAGAGCCTTTTCCATGCTAGCATGGGCTCTGTCCCACCCACGCCGGCAGCATGGCGGAACAGAGCGAACTTCGCCCAGTCCAGGGCTTTTATTCAGGTTGGTGGTGATGTCACTGCCTCGGCTAACCCTGATTGGCCCCTCAGGACAAAGGACTGGCCATCCTTATCTGTTCCTAAATCCTAAAGACTAAATTCTAAAGACTGGGGACACCCTGCTGGACATTGGAATGTGGCCCTAGCTTGCCCATAATACAAAAGCAGAACTCAGAGGTTAATCTCTAAAGGTTATCTATAGTTTCTACCCCTGAAGCTACTGAGTCAGTGAGAGTCAATCTCCTGTAACTACCCTATTGTTTAAGCAAGTAATCGAAGGTCGAAGTCAGATAGCAAGGTTAAAATCCTAACAGCAGTTTTTACCCAAGTATGATTGCTACCATATTTCAATTGAGACTGGTAGGAGGGGCAGAGATGTGGGACAGGCTGGTCCCTCACACATGTGTGGTGGTTTAAAATCGAGAGGACTTTGGCCAGGTAGCTCAATTGGTTAGAGCATTGTCTTCATATGCCAAAGTTGCAGGCTCCTTTCCCAGTCAGTACATACAAGAATCAACCAATGAATGCATAAATAAGTGGAATAACAAATTGATGATTCTCTCTCTCTCTCTCTCTCTCTCTCTCTCTCTCTCTCTCTCTCTCTCTCTCCTCTGCCCACACACACACACACTAACTCTTCCTCACTCTCACTCTGTAGAAAAATCAGTAAGATTTTTTAAATAAAGTAAAATTGGGAGGGATGTCTCAGCTACAGAGGTCCCCCCTGAGAAGTGAGGGTTCCCAGAGCCAGGAAGAGAGGTCCCCATAACTTCTGGCTGTGTAAACCAGCAGGGATCGTGGCTGAGTGAGACAGAGGCTGCTGGAGTCCCAAGCAGTTCCCCTTAAGGGCTCACACAGGGACTTACTCAGACTCCCTCACTCTAAGCTCCAGCGCTGAGCAGCAGCTTGAAAGGAACCAGGGACATAAAGGGAGAAACTGAATTGTCTGACATCAGAGCAAGAACTGAGGGGAAATTTTCTGCCAGAAAAATGTTCTAGCAGTGACTATTGTTCTTTTTCTGAGACCCCACCTCCTATAGAACACCCCAGATGGGCACTAGGTGTGAATCTCCATCAACCAGGTTCACACTCTTTGCCCACATTCCCTGAGATCCTGCCCTGCCCAAGCCATTTCCAAGTGGCTTTTCCATACAAATGGCCTTTCGTGCTTCATGATTTGGACTTTTCTAAAATATCTCAAACACGTAGATCTGGCATCTGTGTACCCCATACCTCTCAATAAGTTACCCCAACCCTGACACAGTGGCAGCTTAGCATCTCCTGGGTACCTCCAAGCCCAGCACAGGTGGCTATCTGCATATCACTCTATAGCTGTGCCAGCTGGCCCCAGGGAGGGCACAGGCCATGGGCTGACCTCGCACCTGGTAGACAGCTTCAAACTACACCAGATAATAACCCTTCTACCTCCACAAGTGACACACTCAAGGGGGCAGACTTGGTGAGCACCAAAGCCCCACTGAAGCTAGTCCTGCTCTATAGGCTCAACTCCTGAACGGAAGTTCCTCTGCTGTAGTTGTAGCTGGCAATTTATAGGCCTGGGCCTCAATTCCCCCCAATGACGCCAACAGCACTCAAGGCTCAACTACAACAGGACAGTCCACACAGTTCACAAAGAGCACCCCGCTCAAGTGACCCTATAGGACACCTGTTACACAGGCCACTCTAACAAGACTGAGAGATGTAGCAGGTCTACCTAACACATAGAAAACAGACAAAATGCAGAGACAAAGAATCAGGACCTAAATGAAAAAAGAAAATAAGAGAATTTTCCAGAAAAAGAACTAAATGAAATGGAGGCAAGCAAACTATCAGATACAGAGTTCCAAACAATGGTTATAAGGATGTTTATGGAACTTAGTGAGACCTTCAAAGGCTTGAAAAAAGACATAGAAACCATAAAAAAAAGAATGAGGCCTTAGCTGGTTTGGTTCAGTGGATAGAGCATCAGCCTATGGGCCTCAATTCCCCCCAATGACGCCAACAGCACTCAAGGCTCAACTACAACAGGACAGTCCCAGTTTCTATTACATCCAAGGGCACATACCTCAGTTTCAGACTCCTCCCAAGCCCATGCCCTGGCTGGGGCATGTGCAGGAAGCAACCAATCAATGTGTTTCTCTCACATCAATGTTTTTCTCTGTCTTTCCCTCTTTTTCCACTCTCTTTAAAATAAAAACAATGCAAAAATATCCACAGATGAAGAATAAAAAAAAAAGAAATGTCAGAAATAAAGGATACACTAACAGATGAATAATTTATAGGAAATTAACAGTAGAGTATATGAAAATGAGAACCAAATCAATTATTTGGAATATAAGCAAAAAACAAACAAACAAACAAACAA